GAATGGCAACAGCACAAAGCTTTTGATTGAAATGATAGGAACTTAGAAGCAACTACAGTCATCTGATCAAATGAGTAACTTTTATGCTACTGAGATCCCATTTTTTGTCATGAAAGCAGTGTGCTGAGGAAAGCTGCAGTGTGAAGATCAGTGTTTAACTCCATTCTACAGTGAGATGAACGGAGAGGTGTGGCTCACAGCAAACAAATTGATCAGAGCAAGTTAAAAATAAAAGTCAAGGGCATCCAGGATTAAGGAGAAAAACAAATACAAGAAATAAAAGGAGAACTCAATTGCAAAATACGTTTTGAACTGAATCTAAGAGTGAAGAAAAAGCATACTATCTGAGACCAGAAATAAAAATAAACAATGTCAGTAGTTGGCTATTTTTCAGTCACTCAAAATAAAATGAAAAATTTGAATTCATTTTCCATAGTGTCCCTTCTTAGATAGGGCAAAAAATAAAGCTTTGCAAGAATTTGTAGAGACTATCTGTGGTAGTTACAAAGACAGATTGCACATCACCAATCTTATAATTATTTTGTTTAATTGCTTGGTTATCTTGCTTCATTTCTGTGTAGGTCACATCTGTGGTTTCAGATTTGGACTTTGTCCAAGTGTTTTATAAAAACGGCTGTGAGTAAATATTTTTTACGTGTTACAATTTTAATGAAAATGTTTCCTGTTCTATATTACATATGCCACAGTATGGCTTTGTAGTAATACTACAAAATAGGCAGCTCTGAATGTAAAATGTAAACAAGTGGTATCTTTACTTCATAGTGTTCAAAACTAAATATGTGTTTAAGAAAATGTGAAAATGGGACAATTCAGTATACAGTGAATTTGCAAGTGCAACAGAAGTGTTTCAGTAGGTTCAGTGTGTGCCTATCACAAACAACCTTCTGAAACTTTTGTGGTTGGCAAAATCTCTGCCTTTCATTAAATATTAGAGTAAACTGGTAGTTACTCCATGAAGCACCTCAACCTCTTTTTCTAGAGCACTTGGCATCAGATCTGGAGGAATCCAGGGATTGAACTGAACTGGATCAGTTATTCAGTAGAAGATGGAGTACACTTAAGGTCAACTTTGCAAACTACCGTGCCCCCCTTTCACACACTGATGTCAATTAACTATATGTAAATCTTAGAAAGTGAGATTATGGGCTTCTATAACATCTCAAATGGTTTCAGAGGGTGTCAGAGGCTGTTGTGCAGAATAGTCAAACTTGCTGGTCCTCCTTGCACTGAAATTCCATCTAAAAAAAGGAAAGTGAGGCGGAATCAGTTTAAACCTAGAGCACTAATCTGGAACCATTTTCTTAAATCATTCATACCAATGTATAGCCTTTCTTTTATAACTGCTTATAAGATAACGTCTTGTTGTTTTTAAAAACTTATAATCAAAGTAGAAAATGTTGCTGCTTGTATTCTCTCTTCATAAAACAGCCTTTGGCATTAATTTAGAACAGATTAATGTTTTCTTAGGATATTCTTCTTAGCATCTTCACAGACTTGACAACACGTCAGGTTGTATTAATATTCCACCTGGAAGCAAACACTTCCTTTCTGCACAGTGCAATTTGCTGAAATCTTTTGGCTTTTCTCTTTCTTACCAAAAGGCAGTAAATCATTATGATTGATATCTGGGCCAAGAAGAAACACTTTTCAGAGCTTCAATCTCTCTTTTAATTTCTTTGGCTTAAGAATCCATTTTTGTTTAGAAATAGGTGTTAAGGCGAAAAAAAAATTGACTGTTTCCTTAAAGAGCCATGCAAGGGTAAGTAAAACATCATCCAACATTGTAGGGTCTTGGAAGAGAATTCTACTTTGCCCATGAGAAAATTTTAAGTATCTCTCCCTGAGATCTTACTATGAATAAAAACGTTTCCTGTGGGAACTGCTAATAGAGATTAGCAGAAGTAAATTCTGTTGATTTTTCCCATTTTAGTTTGATCTGAATTGAATCTAATTTATGTATATCTGTGTAGTCAGTTTTAGCAGTAATATACCGGGGGATCTATGAAAAGATAAAAGACTGGCAACCAAAAGTATTTAGCCAGCAGGTTAAATTTTATTATATACGTACCAGATATTTTGAATGTTCAGGTTAAAAAGAATTCAGGGATCCAGAACATTTCAAAATGCTACCATGAAAAACCTTGAGATCATAAGAATCTAGATACTTAACAATGTGTTGGAAAGTTGAGGTTTTACAGCATATTTGCATTTCCAGTATCTGTAAACTTCGGAGATGAAGCTGGATTTGTTTTAGTTGCACGTATGAGTATTAAATGGGATAACAGACTTGTTTTATCCCCATCATCATGCATCTGGATTTGATTGCATTAGAGAATTTTGCATGAGAAGGGAGAAAAATACGTGAAGGAATGCATTTCTGAGCTTGAGTTTTTATAGATGAAACTGAGTATTGAAGCAGTCTATATTTTAATGTACAAGGTTTCTTTCTGCAGAAGAATAAGGGTGGAGATTATCTTAAATAACAATATTCTATTTCTCTTTATATTATTTAAACAATTAGAATTTATGGTTGGAAAAATATTTAGTCAATCACAAGTAGCAACACCAACTGGTACAACCTTATTATAACAAATAATGTTCTGCAGGCCTTTGAGACCTACATTGATTCTGAATGCAAAGGAACTATTTTCTAAACTGAACCAAAATTACTCATCCTACATATTCCTTTCTGAAATAAGGCTTTGGATTAGAGCTGGACTCAAAGAGAAGGAAGGGAGTCCAGATTATGTGAGTGAAGGGATTGTTCAACCATGTGGGCATATATGTCATATAGTTCTAGAAAGGCATTGCACTGAGGTCACCAAAGGACCATTACTGAACTTACTTCATGTTGAATTTACATCACTTCTTGTTGCAACCATGATATTTCCTTTCTGAAGTCTCATATCAAATGCTGTGTTTATTTTTTTAAGCTTAAAATCAATATTAATTTAATAATTGTATGTGTTTAATGGTATTTGCTGAACAACCCAAGCTCTTGAAAAGGGAAAGCTTGTTTTCTAACTCTGTTGTAATCGTGTATATCAACAAATACGTTCTCATGCACATTTATTTAAAACTCATTCTCACTAATGTATGAAATAAAATTTAAAAGCAAAACAAAAAAGTTAGATCAGATGCTAATGTTGAATTTTAAACCTATTTGAATTTTCTAATGTCCTTCAGCTTTTCATAGATTTTAAAAGGTATCATTTTATACATATATTAATCTTGCTGAATATATCTGCCTAATAATAATAATAAAATTAAATTAAACCTGATTTTTTAAAAAAGATTTAAAGATGTGGTGGGCAATAGTTGTCATTTCTGGCTTTCTTGAAGGTCATTTACAAGAAATTCATTTTTAACTGTCATGTCTTTTTCACTGTCCCGTTTCCTTTTTACCTTAGTCTTGCTGGCCTGTTCTTATGAGATGTTCTATTTCTGAGAAATTTCATTTCACTGCACTTTTCCCTTCTACAGCCAGACCTTTATTACCAGTCATATTCCTTGCAGTTCGAAAATCTCTACTGCTGACCAGGTGAAGCATCCTGCTGTTATTCATATATATGTATGTGGTCAAGGAAATATACATGTATATGTATATTTCTTCAGGATGTATTTACATTGGAAAAAAGATTCCAGCATCTGCTTCAAAATTCAGATTAACATAAAGTCCTGTTAGGCTATTTATCTGTGGGATTTCAAAAGAAGCATTACAAACTTTGCAGAGCACTTGTGATTCTTGGACTACCACCTATTCCAAACATGTATCGGAGCACTGGCATGCAGGATCTGTTCATGGTAGTATACCACAGTGAACTGGGGGCTTACTCTGTTTTTCTAGTTTTCACAGTATTATTATTAAAAGGACACTCTTTTTATGCCTATCTGATGAAACAGCTTCTATAAAAATAAAACATGAAGCAAACATTAGAATGAGTCACAAAGTGACTTGTAGTTGAAGAAAACAAAAGCAGGATGATAGCATTTGTTTCTTATCACTCCTAATGTAATCAAGCCATATTGTGCCTTTCTACTAAAGGTTAGATCAACCCTTCTGATCTGTACCTGGCTTTTTTGAATATCTAGGGAATATGAAGACAGACTTTGACTCTTATCCCTATCTGTATTGTGCTCCCTGTGAGTGGTAAATGCTTTTCTTCAAAATACACTTTACTGAATGTTGCAGTTATGCATTAAGGTGAAACAACTGAACTGCACAAAATTTATACTTAAAGTATAAATCATTTCTGCTTTCATATTAGTTTCTAAACTTCTGTTTTCCTATGGCAACTGGCCCTGGTCTTTGGTAACTGGACATAAGTCCTCATTTATATTTAATTAACATTTCTTCATGTTTTTAATTGTTACTTTTCTTTTTACTCTTTTCTTACTCTTTTTTGAGTTGTTTTTTTTTTTTTTTGTTTGTTTGTTTTAAATCTAATTCTATTACATCCTTTCACCATTAATTTCTTCTAATTTCCTCAATTCTTTTTACCAGTTTTCAAGTCCTAACACATATCTTGTACTACTGCAAGAAGGTTTATCAAAATGCTGCTCTTTGTATGCTTGTGTGACTGACATATCTTTCATGTTCTGCTATATTCTTTCACCATCAGATTTAGAGTCTGTTCAAAATGTTTTAACTCATGTCACTGAGTTCATCCAAGGTCTCATGTCTTGGACAAATTCTACATGCCTTTTAACCAAGCTGGATAAGAAAATACTCTGAAAATTAAGGAGAGATGTTATTCATAGGATTTAACTTCCTTGACCTTCCAGAACCTCAGGCAATTGGATGTATAACTATTCTCCACCTTACTAAAGATAAATCTCTTTCAAATATATTATGTATGCACGCATGTGCTTATTTATTTATAGCTAAATAAAGTCATAAACAAACAAAAAATCTAGGATGTCTTAACCATTGCATTGACTTTTCAGATTGTTTTTAAGCTGTTTTTTAAACTTTAAAGGCAACACTGATAGTGAACGGTTCCAAATGGTAAAACAGAAAATCCCCTTCAAATATAACCGGCCTGTAGAGGAGTGGCTGCAGGAAAAAGGTAATAGTCATTAAAACTTTCATTTTAAACCCATTTGATTCTAAACCTTCATTTTTAAAGCCTGCAAATAAATGTTTCTTAAATGATAATCGCCTGCTGCATAAATGACTGTTTTAATTTTCATTATAATTTGTGTCAGCTTCCACCTGCCATATGTTGATAAATCATGCTATAATACATTGCTATTAAAATGCAGTTAAAGGGACAAAATTCTGAGCTTGCTATCACAGTAATGAAAAACAAGCAAAAATTCAGGAGACATTTTCTAACAAAATAAAATGAAGAAAGGATGAGAGCAACAACATGTATTATGGCAATTTCACCATTGCATGATCTTCCTGTTTTGATTTGTTTTAAAACTGCATTCATATCTTTATTAGCAAAGTTTTCTTAAAAAAAAAAAATTCAAACCTTATTAAATCACTTCCTGTAAGTTTCTTTTTTCCCATTAGTCTGACCAGCCACTGTGGCTATGTGTTTTCTAATTGTTTTCAAATAACTAAACAATTTTAAAAAATGTTGTAAAGAAAACATTTTTTAACATTTTCTTTTAAACTACAGTGAGGGAGACAGAGAAAGATGATCGTTCTGTTGCTTTTATTCTCTATATGGAGTACAATTTCAACACTCAAATAATACATATTATGTTTGAACTCAAATTCTTCCCTACCATAGTCTAGGGTACTGCTGTTATCTTTTGTGAGCTTCTCTGGAGTAATTGGCCTCAGTTCAACAAAATTTTTACCAATATGCAAAAGTCCAATTGGCTTAAGTGAGAATTCTACATACACTTCAGTGATCAGCTGAAATGAGTCTTGTGTCAGAACAGTAATGTTCTTTCATAAAGAGTTTGGAGAAGTACTAAATCTTGGATGTAGAACTCATTCCAAATCTTGTTGAAGATAGCTTAATAACTCTCAATGATTTCAGCAGGATTTAGGCTGGTCTCTTGGTAATGCTGGTTCTTTTCCTTCTAAACTAAACGTGTTATCTAAATTAAAAAATCACTAGAGGTAGTTTCTTTCTTTTAAGCCTTGGAAAACAGAACATAATCTTCTCTGATTTCCCTTAAAGAAAGCACTGCTGATAAAAGTGGGTGACCTTTGAACTCAAATCTTGCATTTTCTGTGTTGAGTTAGTCTGTGGGTATTACCAAATTTTCTTTGAAAAAAAATCAAATTTTGTGCAATGGGAAAAATATATTCTATATTTTGTTTTTAACTTCTATCCACACCTGAATTAGAAAATTGACTTAGCCAGCAGGGATCAAGTTAAGGCCATTAAAAACATGGCTACTTGCAGTCAAAATATTTTTTGTGAAAAGTCTCATCCTTCAAAGTGCTGTGCACACAGTTCCTATTGATTTCAGTGACAGCTGGCAGTGTTGCCCACTTTCCACATTTGGTCTACAACTCTGATGTGTTTATAAATAAAGCTAAGAAAATTGTATAACTAAAGCAGAAATATGTTTTGATCATCATGGTTTCATGGAACAATTTGTTTCTGCTGGCTAGTAAGAAGATATTTAGATAAAGGTATACAGAAAATGCTTATTGAATTTCAGTGGGCTACCCTGTTAATTTACAAGATCAAACTAAATTAAATAAATAAAGCTTAACACTAAACAGTGGATAATCTTGGTAAGTTTGAATTGCTAAAGTCCCTTTAACACTAAAGACAGTGATTGCCTCAACTTTATTAAAACGGATGCATGTCGAATTCTTTGATGCTATTCATGTGCTTGAGAACCCATTTTTTTATTCCATATCTTTTATTTTCCTTTTTGGTTTTCTACAAGTTTTTTCTTTGATTTATTTTGTGTCACTGCTTCTCTAAGTTTGAGCTTATAAGCATGCCAAGGTACTTTCCCTTTGTAAGCCATCCTAAAGATTTGAATTGAAGTCTACTTTTTGTGAATATTGATGCTTTGTTAAAAGACAATCACACATGCAGTGGGATCTGAACGACAATATTTGAGAATGCAGACACTCTTGAAGGAAAGAATGATTTTAGGCTAGATGCATATACGTGTGATTTTCCCAGAGTGAAAGGAAATTCAATCTTCACATTGTGTATTAGGAAAATGGCATCATGCAGTGCAACACCTGTAACAATACATCTTCGTTCCTCCATTCCAATGTAGACAGACCTTCTCAGCAAATTATATAGCATCCAAAAAATCAGAATGAAGAATTGACCTAGCTGTTCACCAGTCTGCTCATCCATCTGGTCATCCATCCAACACTTACTGAATCATAGATACCTTCTGTATAAAGATGACGAGTGAAGGCATAGCTCACTATCAAAATTGAATAAGATGAACTGATGAGTGGAGGAATAGACAGATTCATAAGTGAATTAATGCACAGAAAAGCTGTCTTCCATTGTTAGTTCTTGGCTTGAGTGGGGTAAGATTAAACACATTCTAATTGAGTTTTTTACTGCCATAGATTTGGCATTATTTTGGTACCACTATCATATAATTCATAATAATGAAATGTATATAATGCAGCATCTTTCTGAAGTGGCAGCATTAATGTTGAAGGGTGTTTTTTTTTTTAATTATATAAATTGTTTACAGTATTCAGAGAAGTACACACCTACAATCTTGAATTATACGAGTAATACGTAAAACATTAACCACTATTAACTTCACTGAGATTGTGAGTTTTAAAACAAGTTCTAAATTGTTCAATTTCAGATATCATAAAACCAGGTTATTTTATTAGTAGAATACCTGGTGCTTGCTACCTGGTTCGGATGTTTGTTCTGCAGTATGAGGAGCTGATAAAGTCACAGATACGTTTCAACAAAAGGTCTGATTCTGGAAGCTCTTAATTCTGCAAATTCCTCTTATGTGAGAGGTCTCATTGATGTGAACAACTGCACTTTTGGAGCAAGAACTGTTGATGTGAATTTGGGTTTGCAAAATCAGGCCTGAAATCTCTCCTAGCATTACAGAAAGCTTATATTTCACTAAGATTTATCAGTGAAATTTCTTATTGGTATTCAGCTCTCCAAATGAAAAAGTCAATGAGAGAAAAACAAATGAGAACTTGAACTACTCAGAATGTTTAAAGATCACCTCAGAAACACAAAATACACTTGCCATTTTTCTCTACTATGGCACTAAGCAGTGGGAAGAATTTTTTTGTGGAAAATATAGACTATAAGCTCGCAACCCTTACACATGTAATAGAATTTATAAATACAGTTCCTCAATCAAATTCAGCAGCCCAGTAAGTTTCACTTAGGGGGGGATCAAGGGCTAACATATAATCAAAAAAATAGTTAGAAGAGGTCAGTAGTTGCAGAATTATGTGTACATTTTCTCAATGATATTCTCTCATTTCATATGCATTTCCCTGTTGTCTTTATTCATGCATGTGTACGCCGTCACAGAATGAAGAGCAAAGAATTACATATTATAGATAACTCAATCAAGTGATTGTTCTTTTAGCAAACAGAGTTCTAGTACCAGTATTGTCTGCGGTGTTTACCATATGGTGTAGTGCATGAATTGTCCTGAACTGGCAGTCCACTTACTGAACAAGGACAACTCCAAAATTCACAATCAAAATTTTGTTTTTTACTGGAGTGTGGCCATTTCCCTGGGGTAAGGTGTCAGCATTAGAAGATGCAGAAAAAAGCCTGGAAATAGAGAATCCTTCTCCCTCACCCCACCCCCACCCGCCAGCTCCCACCTTTAATATACTAATTTCTCATTTTGAAAAAAAAAAAAAAGATATGACAGACATATCTAAAGATGTACTGTGGGCTTGGGTTAGAGTGAACGAAGTGAATGACATCTTTTGTAGGTCCATAATTCTCCAGTAAAATGGGAGGAACCAGAACCCCTTTCTTTTCCTCCCTGGTTTAGGAAGCTCTTCTCCTGGAGCAGTAAAAAATGATTCTTCCTCACCATTGCCCACCCCTTTTCCCTTTGGTAAAAGATGATAGAAAGTGACAGTTTTGGTTCAAGGAGAAAAAATGAATAGAACTGGGAAGTTTTGAAAGGTCATCATTTTCCCTTCATTTTCAGCAGTGTCATTTCAAGATTAGTGAAAGAAGATGGGTGATGATATTCCTTGCTATTGATTCACCTCATCTCCATTTTTTGGCACTGTATCATAAGTGAAGTGGGAAGGATGGAACAATACAAATGAAGTGTCTGGGTGTGTAGGGACAGAAACAGCATGGAAGGAAATGTAGTTCTAAGGGAGAGGGAATATGTGAGGGGAACAGAAGATGGTAAAGTAAGGAACTGACAGCATGTCCATTAGAAAATCTAATGCACAACAGGACAGAGCTACTAGGAAGAAAATCAGTCTCTGAGGCCATAGTATATGACAAGTTTTGCCTTCTACAGTGTACAGTACCAATTCCTCTAGATTTGAGGGGAGTTGGATTGAAAGAGCTGTACATTTTGATGGATATTTTTACTGGATCCTATTCTCCTCATAGACAAGCAGAAAGACTGAGGGGAAAAAAAAAAAAAAAAAAAAAAAAAAACCACAAAAAAAAAACCTGCTCTGATTTTACATGCTGGGAATTTGTGGCTCCAGTGCATGTTTATTGCTTTAACATACATAAAGATCCTCTGGTAAGTTTAAAACATCCTAAGATGCAAAATGCTGCGTCAAGTGTTTAAACATTTTCCAGGGGAAGGGCACCCTCGTTTCTTATTTCTCATTTTTTCATCAGTGCTGTTCCTCCACCCTGATCAAGTCCTAGTGTTCCATTTACAAATCTGTGGGTGAGGAACATAAGGGGTGCGCAACTCACCTTCACATGTGTCCATATGTTGCACCTCTCCATACACTTTTGCTCAGTTAACTAGGGCCCTCTCTGGGGACAGGAACTCCTTTCAGATACATTTCTTCTCTTGTCCCCATTCTCTTCCCCATGGTCCATCCTGTCACCATAAGATGATGCAACACCGCATCACCACTTGACTTCGAGACCTGCCACGACGACCACCAAAATTGGTGAGCTCCCCCTTGTATTTTGATCTGCTTTAACCACTGTCTGTGAATAAATGAGCAGTGGGCTATACTTTGTGCTTTGCTACATGGTGGCTTTTTGCACTTCTAGTCAGGGTGGACTGTAGAGGAAGTGGTGAATGAGAACTGGGGAGCGGGAATGGGATGGGGACACACGGTACAAATTTCATAAAAGCAGGAGAACACAAATATTTGAATGGCGGTTGTCTTGATGCTGTTTTGATAATCCTTCAAAGCAGTGCCTAGTCTGTCTCTCTTGTAATTCAACAGATCCAGCTGGTGTGGTCCTAATATTCTGAAGAACAGTGAAATTATAGGCACTATCTTTGCACTGCATGAAGCAATTTATTTCTTAGCCTGGGATATACGCAGTATTTATAGAGAAGACAAGGCTAAATGTGATTTAAGTGGCCTGCAAAAATAGAATTGACAATTGTTATAAGGATTTATTTTTTAAAAAGTGTGTTTCTTATTACATATTATATCAATCCACTCCTAATACTCAAGGTGTGACCTTGAATAAACCACTTAACTTGCCTACTCTTGAATGTAAACATCTGCAAGTGGGATTTACGTGTAAGGCTTTCTGGGATGTAGTTGTTATCCTTACTGTTTCAAGAACTTCGCTCTTTCAGAGACATTGTGATGTTAGTGTTTGCGTTTTCCTGGTTTTAGTTTCGTGAGCCTTCACAACAAAAAATTTTCAGGTGGAAGATCATGAATAAGCCTATCTTAAGTTTCATTTACAATTCCTGTATAGATGGTGATTAACAGTTGATCACCACCAATTTTTCTGATGTTATCTCCTCAGGCCACCCCTCAACACCTTTGCAATGTTAAAAATGGTTTTACGAGACAATTCCACACTTTGACCAGTCAAAAGGGAAGGTTTTTTTAATGGGTTTTAAAAGGTTTTCAAAAAGGTTTTTTAAAGCTTGATAGGTACTGTGATTTGAATTAATAGCAGGAAAAAAAAAAAAAAACACATATTGAAGTCTTTTTAGTAGTTAAAGATTGGTCCAATTCTAAAGAAGTGGGTTCAGGTTTCTGACTGTATCATAGCTCCTCTGGATTTTTGATGCACAAGTGGCTATTGATGGATGAGGGTTCAGGCGTTCTTGCTTTCAAAATAATCTCTATTATTAATGAATCACAGGCAATACATTTTCATATTCTATTTCTACCCTACAGTCTTCATAAACACTGAGAATGAATCTATTTCTTTGTTGTCTATCATTTCTGGCCAGGATTCAATGTAAGGTACAAAGTAAAGGAAATGTCTAGCAATAATGTTGTTCCACCCCCCTTCACTAGGACGACAGTTAACGATCTTCAACACCCAGGCGCAAATAGCCATAGGAGGAAAAGACAGAGGGCGTCTCTTCCAAGGCCAACTCTCCGGTCTCTATTACAATGGCTTGAAAGTGTTGAACATGGCAGCAGAGAACAACCCTAACATTAAAATCAATGGAAGTGTCCGTCTTGTCGGGGAGGTCCCTTCCATCTTGGGAACAACACCCACAACCTCTGTGCCACCAGAAATGTCTACTACTGTCATGGAAACCACAACTACGATGGCCACCACTACAACCCGAAAAAATCGTTCACCACCTAGCATCCAGGTGAGTCAATTGGTCTTGGATGTTTCCTTGGGTTCTTAATTAATCTCATTTCTCTGCTCATTTGTAAGTTCACTAGAACTGTTATCTGAATCATGTTCCACTCTTAATGTTTTTATGAAGATAAGTCAACACACAGTGTGCTGTCCTCTTGTGTTGGTGAACAAACTCAATGAATTACATGTATTTATAATAATGTAATAATAACAGATTTTTCTCCTGTTCAACTGCAACCATATTTAGGTAAGTAAAATTGCTCCAAAGGAAATTAGAACAAGATTTTAAATGTTTTTTCAGTTGGATATACTGTGAAATGTATTGCTAAGAGAGTAACAAAGCCTTATAGGGGGGTGTGCGTATGGTTATTTATCACTATGATACCATATACTGCTGCAACACTGATGTTCATAATGGAGTGAAAAGCAGTGGAGCATTACATCCTGATTGAGCCATTTTTCATTTTCCTTTTACAGCCTTCACACCATCTAGATCACTTTCTTGCAAAATGAAGTTGCTCCAACATAGAGCAATTTCAGCATCTTTGGTAAAACACATTCTTATGATAAATAGATCTCAGATAGTCTAGCCAGATTGTACCAACATAGTGTGTTCATACCTAAAAATGCAGAGGTTTTGAACTACTTATTTGGTTATACCCAGACAGTGGTATTGATTAGAAATAAAAACCTTATATTTGCTCTTCTTGTATGCGTAGGTTAAAGAATAACGTAAATAATCAGTTGAGTAGTGGATTAGTATTTCAAAATGATTTATTTCAGTAGTATATTATCACGGTATTAACTAGGATGAAGTACATGTTCTAAAATTTTTATTTACATAAGATCCTCATCAAGTTGAAGTAATGTGCTTTTGTTGGTACTCATGTATACTGACTGAGACACTACCTAGTGATTATCGATCATAGAGTGCCTTCATTAAACCCCCAGAGAAAGGTATTTTTTTGTCCAGTTTGAGAAAAAAATTTAAATGATTCCATTTCCTTCTCTGAAAAATTTCTTCTGCTTGAAATGGAAGAACCTAATGAAATAAAGTACTTTGAAATCTAGAATCATGCAAGTAACACACTTGTCTTCTACTGTTTCAGAAGATTTCATCAGTTACTGGTTGTGTTTGTGTATATATGGGTATTCTCTTTATTTTAAATCTAGCACTGATCACTGAGGTTATGAAAAATTGTCCTCTTAACTATATTAGGAAGTCAGGCCACGCCCAGAGCGCTGTGTTCAGTTCTGGGTTCCCAAGCATAAAAGAGATATGGAACTAGTAGAGATGGTCTAGAAAAGGACCTCTGAGGTGGCTAAAGGACTGATACATCTGTCCTATGAGGAGAATTTCAGAGAGCTGTGGAACCATTCCGCCTGGATAAAAGAAGGCTCAGTACAAATACAACAAATGTGAACAAATACAGTAAGGGAGGATATAGAAAAGACATAGACAGTCTCTTTTCAGTGCTACCTGGTGACAGGACAAGAGGCAACCAGTACAAACTATATGCTGTAGGTTCTGTCTGAGCATCAGGAAGTGTTTTTTCACTGTGTGGGTAAGAGCTTTTGAGTCTCCGTTCTTGAAAGGGAGATCTTTAAAAGCCACCAAGTCTGCTCTGGATGTCCCTGCTTGAGCAGGGATTGGACCAGATGGAAAGAGAGGTCCTTTCCAACATCAACCATTCTGCAGTTCTATCAGTTATTTTTGCTGCAGCAGAAAAATGAATTTCAAGCCAAGTTTTAGTGTTGCCCCAACAACTTTGGCACTACATCCAGTTGGTAGCAGGACTGAATTATGAGACTCAAACACTCAGTAATCATTTTTAAAAGTTGCAGCCAAATAAAGAGAAATTACTCAAGGTTTCTTCTCTGTTTGTCATAAACTGTGAAAGAATTAGTGTTCCTTCTCCTCAAAAGCTTACTCTAATTTTAGAGAAAATTTTTGTATAATTACATCTCCAGAAGAATGAAGTGTTGACCAGATCCTGCTCTTGTTACTGTAGTTTATTGGAGATTTTCTATGATTTATAAAGTTAACAGAACTGTGTTTAGCTATAGGAATGTAACAGAGACTAGTACTGGACTTTAGTGGTCTGAGTGAAGCTGGAAATCACCCTGCAATGTTTGATGAGGAAATCTTCCAGAAAGCTTCCTGCCTAAACTACGTGGTAGTTCAGTGGGCCTATAGAGACCGTTGTATGCCGAAAGTGCATCAAGAAGATTTAATAAAGTGTCAAAGTGCTTCTAAAAACATGGTTAGAGCAATGATTTCCTGGATACACATGCACCACAACAAATGGTCTCATCTTAGATGATATTAAAGCAATAACTCTTTGACACTTCATACTGCCCACTGAAAGCAAGATAAAAGTCAATATGTATCTCCATTACAAGTTTCTGCATTTCAATACTGGGACATTTTATTGCTGCCACAGCACAAATGGCTCTACTTTCTTCCTTACTTTTGGTAGAATTTGATTCTGTCAGCTTGCAATGCATTATTTCTGCAGTAAAAGTGAGAAGAAATCGTCATTTTCTTTTTGGGCAGTATCTCCAGCTGTGGTTTTGAGATGCCTAATGGTTGTTTTATCTTGCTAGTGTTAGACATCACCGTTGTCAGGCCTGCTTACAACTTCAGTTCTAAGTGGTAGAAAAATCAAATAGAACGAGTATGCTCTTTGGGGAATGTTAAATATAGCCACCTGGGGCTATGGGCAGTTATTTATTACCCTACTCCAGGTTTTCTCCCCTGTTTTCCTCAGAAATAAACATTTTTTCTTTACTTTCAAGGCCTTTCTGTTTAGCCCCTCCCCTTCCCATGCTTATCAGTATTATTATTTTTTGGGGGAGGCTCACGTTAAATTTGATCATAAGAATCTTTCTGCTTCCAGTTGACTGTTTGCAAGGCAGAACTAGGTTATACTTCCAGTGTTACTGAAACCTTCCTTTAACTATGTTGAAAAAGTTTTCAGTGGTTATGCTGATGATGTTCTGGGGTAGCTGTTTATCAAGCTTATGAATATTGTCACATTTTTCATCCCTTTATTCTCTTTATTCAATTTACCTGTATCTATTTGCAATATAATGTTTTATACTTAAATTGAAAACTCTGTGAGTTCAAAATGAACAAATTCTGCATGAGTACACTACTTAACATAGAAGCATTCTGATTCGTTGCAGAAATGCCAGCTAAGATACAAAGAAAACTATCTAATACCTAATGTCAAAAATCAGGTTAAATAACTATTCTTACTGTATTAGAACAGTCTGTGCTATTTGAATTGCTCATTTTCATATGTAAGAAGTTAAAACTTCTCCTTTTTGAAATGTATATAAAGCTTGTGCAAAATTCAAGATCCATCATCCCAAAGTGATACAAAATCCAAAACAATTTTAGTAGGATTTAGGTTTACATATCACTTGTTGGTAAATACAAAACAGCATAACTGCAAACTTCTGTTTGTACTGTACATCAGAATATCTCCTGTAATTTGTTAACACTGCCAGTAGTGTTTTAGACTACAGTTTTACTTAATGAAAATGGGAAAATGAAATGTTTTAAAAATACACTGCATATACACAGACCAGTGACACACTATACAGTATGTTAAGCTCACAGACTATAGTGGGATATGGTCTTAAACAAACATCCAAAGCAAAGAAAAATGTTACTGGAAATATCATGTGGCAATAACGTTAATATTTAAAATATCTATAACTTAATTATATTTCAAAACGTATACTATGTCTGCAAGGAAATGAAACTCAGTTTAGTGGAAGACAAGAAGAATTTGTTTGAGAAATGGGTGAGATGTATAACTTCATAGTAGTAAAATTGCTGATAGGAATGTGTCTGTGATTCAAATATCCTTCAGAGTGGTCCTGAAGGAAAATAAAAAGAGATCTGCTTCAGATAAGCTTCTTGGAGATTCTAGGGCTCACTGACCTGGGACAGGCCCTTAATATGTCTGCTCCATGGCTTGGATAGCTGGTGTCATAAGACCAAAACCATGGAAAAATTTCTGTGGAAAAGAAATCAGTACCCTTCTGGGAGGTCAGATGGGTAATTGCCCAGTGATGTGGTAGATGTTTTGCCTCTTGAGACTTTCAAGGAGAGGCTGGAGAAGGCCCCATGCAACCTGATTAAAACTGTGGATGTCCCTTTTTCATTGCAGGGGAGTTGGACTAGATGGCTTTCAGAGGTCCCTTCCAACTCTAAGGATTCTGTGATTCTGTGATTATGCTGTCCATGAGGAAGCATAAAATATGTACTCTATTGAAGATCTGGTGCATGTCTTAATTTCTTGTAAGGATAAGGATAATGATGCTTGCCAAACTGTTCAAATATAGCTTGGAATTTAAAATAATAAATTATTTGTGGGTGTTTTCAGCTGTGATCTTAAAGTGACAACATTACAGTGTATGACATATATTATGCAGAATATTCTTTATAAAGAATAAAGATTTCTATCCATTATCCATGTAGAGTGCTCAGCCCACTGGTATGTTCCAGAATAAGTTTCTCAACCTTTGATTTTAACCATTAGGCATTCCAGCCTGTTAAATTTATTTTAGACGGAGGCTCCAATAATCTTGATTAATGTCTTTCCAGAATATGCAGGTCCAGGCTAAATCCTTTCTTTCTGTGTATCTCACAAAGGAAAACAGCACAGATTTGTCAGTCTAATTAGACATTTTCAGTCAACTAAGACAAATACAGTTGTGTCACTCTTTGATCTTGCCAAGCTACTTTCTTTAATACTCACAGATAATAACTTATGGGGAAATAGACTGGTCTTTAATTTACTTTTTGCTTCTTATAAGTCACTAGTGACATTTTCATTCAAAGACTGTAAAGTTCTAATGAAAAAAAGCTTTTTTCTTGGTATCTGCTTTAAAGATGGACTTCATTGGTCTGTTGGTACTGTTTGAGAATTAGGTGGTCTGGCTTTTGTGCCTCCTTTGCTGCTTTTTCCTGAACTGCTTTTTTCCTAAAGA